TTAATGTTTACTTATTTTTGAGACAGAGAGAGGCAGAGCATGAACGGGGGAGGGTCAGAGAGAGAGGGAAACACAGAATCTGAAACAGGCTCCAGGCTCCGAGCAGTCAGCACAGAGCCTGATGCGGGGCTTGAACCCACAGACTGCGAGATCATGACCTGAGCCCAAGTCGGACGCTCAACCAACCGAGCCACCCAGGCGCCCCCAAATACCCATTCTTAATTCTTTCCTGGGACGCAAGGGGAATTTGTATAAAATGAAGCATTTGACTTTGATCTACACAACCTTCGTCCTGTGAATCAGTCATTCTGAGAAGAAAATGAATGCAATTATTCGATCTCCTGCATAGCTCATTTGATTTCTTTGAAGGAGGAAGGAGGCTGATTAAAACATACATATTTCTTTCTGAAGTTATTTTTTTCTTATCATTACTCCTAGTAAAATGTTTTCTGTTACAAACTTATTTTTTATGTATTTATGTTTAAAAGGTTTTTTTATTGATTTATATTTTAAAGTAAGCTGTGTGCCCAATGTGGGTCTTAAACTCACAACCCTGAGATCAGGAGTCGCATGCTCTACCTGTTGAGCCAGCCAAGTGCCCCACAAACTTATTTTCTTAAAAAACTTAGCAAGATAAACATAAAAGTCAGGATAGTGGTTATTTGTGGGAAGAGGGAAGGGAAAAGGGACCATGCATGACATTTGGGGGTAATGGAAATGATTTTCCTTGACCTGGATCATGGCTATGTGGATATTTGTTGTGTGATTATTTATTCCATCATTTATATTTTGTGCACTGTTTCTGCAAATGTGTTAATGTTAAATAAATTAAAAAATTTTTTTTAACCACCAAGGTCCATGTCAACTGCAGGGCTGTAGAAATTTTGGGGAAGTAGGGGAAGAGGTGAGAGGTGGAACTTTGGCTATCTGTATCTGAGGCATTTGATTTTAAGAAAGCCAGAGATCTGAAGTCTGACACTTAACCAGCTGAGCCACCCAGACGCCCCACTAACTGCTTATTTAAATAGTACTGGGCACAATCCTTCATTTACTTTTGTAGGCTTTCACATTACCCCAGTTCTAATGTTTTATCATCTGATGACCATGTCTTGATTTTGTTAGTTTCATGATCTAATTGGCTTCGATCTCATTTTTTTTTTAAGTTTTTATTTAAATTCCAATTAGTTAACATAC